GGCGTCATAGCCCATTGACATCGTCCGGTGGCGGCTCATTGACCGTGGGGGAGAGGGCGGGCACGCGAGCCCGCTCGCGCTAGGGTCGGCGGCGGCGGCGGCGGCGGCGGCCGCGGCGGCGGGTTGGGCGCAGGGAGAGGCGGGGGGGCGGTTGTGTTTCCTTGCGGGCACATGTTCCACGAGTACTGCTTGAGTGTTGCCCGCGACCGGGGGTCCAAGGGGAAGCGGTCCGGGAGCAGCCGGGGCAGGGGGACGGGCGGATTGGTGTGCTTTTTGTGCGGGGGCAAGGAGAAGTCTGCCAGGAGGTGATTTGGCTCCGCTTCTTCGAGTACGACGTGCGGCGAAGAGAAGGAAGGAAGCCTGTTAAGACAGCAGTTTGTTGTTGGTGCGGCACCCCTGCGAGTACGGTGCATGTCTGGGGTGTTTTTTTTGGAGGGTTTGTGGCTCCAGGCGAGACATAACCGATATTTGTTTGCTGTTCCGGTGTTGGGTGTGAGGCGGTACCGTTAACGCCGTTTCTGAGTGGCCAAATTAACGTACTTTACTTTTCCGTGTTAATTTGGCCAAGCAATATCTACCAAGAGAGGACTCATGTTACCTGCGTGTTAATTGTGTATGATTATTCCCTTGATATCGCAAGGGCAAGACACCACATAGTCGTTGAGTTCACTCCGGATGACGTTTGACAATTGATTCAACCCTAGCACGTGCATTATCAGGCGATACAACCCCGTCTGAATAACGGAGAGTATTCTTGACAGTGCCACCGTAGCGAGGGGAGGGGGGTCGGGCACCGAGAAACGAATTAGTGGGGGGGGTGACTAGGAGGGTGGGGTGGGGGGGGCGCTGTGCTGTTGCACTGCTGTCCGTACTCGGTGGCAGATAGACTAATAGAGTCAGGTGCACACGTCGGCAGTCTTGTATCTATAAGAAAGTGTATTCTACAGCAGTTCTTGTACAGTTTTGTACTTTCGCGGCAGTCTAGCGGGACAGCGTTCGTGCGGCGCACGGCGCGCTCTTCGAAATGGTCAGTTGAATCGATCAAATTTGAGCGATGCTGTCGCAGAGTGCGCTCTTCTCCTGGTTCGTGTTTCCCTCCGCTGATGATCACGTATATACGCGTTGGAAGGTAAGGTTCCGTGGACCGCGTGACTCTTTGGTGGGGTGACGTGGGACTGCTGTAATAAAGCATTAACTTTTGACACTCCGGTGTTCAACTCGAACCCAGGCCCTCATGATGAACATTCAGAACAGAAATGTTGTCGTGTTTTCTTCTGTCGTTTTGCAGATGACGTGCTCGCACAGCACAAGCTACACCCTAGATAGCTTGGGCCCTTGGGAGATTGATTGTGATTATTAGAAGCTCAAAGGCCATCGGCGTTGTGACACGAACGGGGCGAGTCATTCCGCACCTACCGAATGGGGGCGCATTTTTCGTGATGATCATCACGAATATGCTTGTTTTACTTCAGCACGCGCCACGTACACAGATACGATTGTCAGCATACAATCGCAAGCCTTTGGCGCTGCAGACTCCCTGTGGTGTTGATTTCGCCCTCCAAGTATGATAGGAGCGCTCAAACATGTAAAAAAAACATAAAAGCACGCCACCTGTCTGTGCTGTCTCCACGTTTTTGCATCAGTTGTTGTGCACAAAAAATCGTACTACACACAACAGCAGTTGAGTGCACGTCGCCTTAGGCTCGTTACTTTCGGGGAGCTCCCAACCGCTCCCCTTTCGCGGCCATCCGTCCCCCCCCCCCCCCTCCGCCTCTGCTCGGCAGACGACAGACCACAAGACGCTCCGCCACTGGCGCTAGGAACAACTTCTCTACCTTGTAGTCTAGATTTCGTTTACCACGCAAACACCACCCGCTCAACCCACCCACACGTGATCCGGTCTCATTCACAACACCATCTCGGTCAGGAGGGAGCACAGCAGTTCTGGCACAGAGCAGCAATCAGAGAGGGTTATGCCCGAGTCTCATCCTTGGCTCCCTCGTTCGTTGGTGTCACGAGATATTATCCTGAGAGACTCTCGAACAAGAGGAGGGAGGAGATAGATACTGCATGCATCGTGTTCTGCGAACCTCTCTCAGCGCAGGAGCGACAACAGCAGAGACGAGAAGTGTGTCACAGGTATGTGTCCTTGGCGCGCTGATCAGCAGTGCCAATTGTTTATTGAGGTCCTCCAAACTAGTCTTGTTGTTGTTGTCTTCACATTACTGCGACCACTTGAATCTGTAGAACAACGTTTTCTCGTCATCAAGAAAAGTTTTTGTGTCATCAGTCAGCGTCTGATTCTTTTGTTGCCTTCTACATAGCGGACAGGATGCAAAAGCTCATCGCACTTCTATCACTCATTCATCTGTTTGATCCGGGCTCACTAGCCTGATGCCGAATACGGCGAACTTAAAAGTCGCCATTCAACATTTGCTTAACTGAAGGCGTACATCTCGTGCCGACGCCGTTTCCAAAAAAGTCGCTGCCGATATAATCCACCCTCGAACACGTCAAAATCAATCAAGATGGCAAAATAGACAGAAACAGAAATCAGTCCCCACGGTAACGACACCGTCTGCAACTTTGCCGACGAGCGCAGACATCCCTTGCGCAAGGTTTGCAAATCAAGCCCCCACAACAAGTCGTGCGAACCATCACCACCTTGGGAAGGAGGCACTCGCCGCAGGGAACGCCGCCGCCGCCGCCGCCGCCAGACCGGGGACTCTTTCCGACAGCTCTCTCCAGAACAACGCGTTCGGTTCCGGCCACAGAAACTGCCCCAAGCTGTCCTTGCGATGGCGTCGAGGCGAGTTCGGCGGCGTCGACACCGCTTCGTTTTTTCGAGCAGCTTGTCTCTTGTCCTGGCAGCGCCGCTACCTCGGGCTCCCGTACACCCAACTCGGCTCCCGCTGTCTGGACGACGGGCTCAGCCGAAAGAACAGAAGCGCTCTCTTTCTCACACTCGCTACTCCTAGCGCCGGGATCTATGCACCCACTGCCGGCTTCGCCTTGGTGGTCACCACCGCCACCGCTTCCGGCGTTCCCTAACCCTTCGACCCGGGCGCGCATGCGACGAAGACCCCCGTGTCGCTCCAGCGCCTCCCTCACCCCGCCCCAGTTGTTCCCTGCCCCGCTCGACAGCACCACGATGCTGCATGCTTCGCTGCCGCCGCCACCTGCTGCGCCGCTGCTGCCCTCGCTATGTGGACTCCGCGCAGGCATGGCCTCCGGGAGAATCGGAACCGAAAGGCAGAGCACATCTAGCGCGGAGTTTCCGGCGGCGTCGCAGGCGTTCGGATCTGCTCCGGCTTCCATGAGCGCGACGCACACCTCCTTGTGGCCCTGGCTCGCGGCCTTGTGGAGAGGCGTTCTCATGTCGGCGAAGGAGGTGTCGGCGGCGTTCGTGCTGGCGCCGGCGGAGAGGAGGGCCCGGACGCAAGGCAGCTGCCCGGCAAAAGCGGCCCTGCGAGCCAGTCGAATACGTGATAGTCGGGCGCATCGCAAAGGTTTGGACGGTGACAGGTGGGAGGGGCGGGCGGGTAATAGGGGGGCAGGGGTGGGAGGAAGGGTGTTGGTCGACGAGGGCGAAAAATGTGATGCACGGCCACGTAAAACGTGCGTGCGCTTTGAGGGGTCGGGAAAAAATTCTTGAGGATATGAGTAGCATCTTTCACGTGCGAAACAAGGGCTGACGACACGCGTACCTCGCGCATGGGGAATTTACGGAAACCAACCTGTCGTGGTACGTTTCGGGAGCACGACAGCAAGGAAAACACTCAACGGGGTGTGTCATTTCAGAGTTGGAAAATATCGAGAGCGGGTGGGTGTGCTAAGGGGCTCGCGTTCCGCCTGTGTGCGATCGCGGTTCTCAGTTATCCCGCACAATTTTTTTCAGCGGACACCTACACCTTGGCGCCACCCTGGGGTTGATTTCTGTGCGGCACTTAGAAGGTGGTTGTCCGTGCAGAACAAAAGACCAGCATCAGGTCCGACCCTGTATACTGAGCTGAAGCTGAAGGCGCGACACTGGCGGTGCGTGCGAAAAATGGAGCTTCTGAGGATACTTGTTGCGCGCCACGAGCAGTTCAAGGCAAGGCGTTGTATTCCCCAACAGCATGATAAATAGAAGTAGCATCTTCTGATGCTGGGAATATCGCACAGAAGCACAGCCCAGTATCCGACAGAACGGTCCATAGCCGACCACAAACGAGGGGGCGTTCTTGACGATGTTGCTCACCTGTGGAGTGGCGTGGCTCCACAACCTCCGGCGTCGGCAGGGACGCCGTCGGGGCTAGCGCCGGCCTCGAGGAGGTACAGCACCACCGATAGCCTTCCGTCTGAAAGGTGCGACAGTCAAGGCGAAACAGAAAGAGGCAAGAGAACGAGCGATACATCTAAACGCTTCTTCAGAGGGTAAATGATGGTTCCCGCGCGATGAATGCTTGTCCTGTGCACCACAAGAAGCCACACGACGGGTCCATGACGCAACCTCCTGCATCTGTTACAATGCGATGCAACACGCAAGCCCGCTAGCTGTGTTGTGTGACCTATTGTGGACGAACCCACCTTCTAGTCTCTTGGGGTGCAACCTCCTCCAAAAGGTCTAGCAGAAGGGTCTCCACGATAGCGCGAAACAAGACTTGGATTGAGCTGGTGGGTGAGGGTGTTCCCTTTCACGGGGAATTTTGATCTCGCGACAAGGTTGGTATCCCTCCTCTCGATACGGAGAAAGAACAACAGCCGTCTACAACAGACAGCCGCCAACACTGCGCGTGTTCCTTTGTGTTGCGGCGAGTCTTGTGTTGAGTTATTGCTTTCTTCACACGATGTTTCTTGTTTCTTCACGACCAAACGAATTTTGTGGTGACGACGGAAGAGCAAGGGCAGTGGAAAACCCGTGACGGTATCTAGTCATGAAGGCGGTAGGACCCAACGTCGTTGAGGGCTTCGGGGTGCAACAACCTTCACCCCGATTAAACCCATCAAGTATAATAGTCGTTTGGGCACTGTACCCCCAAGCAATGAGCTCAGCAGCAACTCTTTGGCGTTGGGCATTGGAACGTACGGTACGGTCAGGGCATGAACGCTGCCCGCTGCTGCTCTGCTCTAATGCGCGTTGCTCTTATCTTGCTGTAACTCACTCTGGGCGGCGAGGTGAAGAGGACAGTAGCCGTGCGGGTCGAGGGAGTCAGGCCGTCGTCCCTTCACCCCCACTGACACCCTCACACGCGCCACGTCTCCCAGCTCTGCCGCTGTCCAGATGCTAGCATTGGTGGTCAGCGTCCTGTCAATGTTGCAAAACACGTGCATCGGGACGTGGTGCAAGCGGATGGCCGTTACGATGACGACGTGGAGGCAGGCCTGCTGGTCGTGGTTCGAGTATGCACGTCAACATGGGACGCGAAAGCTTGCCCTCTCCTCTGTCCGCCAGCAGTAGACACACCCTTGAGGATTCGCGGCCACCCACTTAATGCTAAACGGGGTTCCTTATATATGCCCCCTTCTTGTCTTGAACCGCTCGTGGAAGAAGTGTTTGCCATGGGTTGAACGAAGACAGGAACACCAGACAGCACCCTACGACATGTGAACAGCTCCTTATGACGATTTCCCGAGCGTCAAACTCAAAAAAGGGTCTGCAGAGACAGAAAATACGAAAATACTCAGATCTTTTCGGGACGTTTAGTTGAGGAACTGACACACGGCTTCGTCTTCGTTGTCAAGCAACAGCAGTTGTAGTGAACCTTCAAACCCAGCGGGGGGTGTGGTAAACCACGTCATACATAGTGTGTGAGCGTGGGTGCACAGCGAGAACCACAGACGTGCAGAGAGAGAGAGAGAGGGAGAGAGAGAGAGAGCACAGGTCCAACGTCATAGTACTATAGGTGCTCCCTTCCCGCCCCTCTCAACTTCTCATTACACTGCTGTCCCCGTGTCCGTCCCCGTACGGTACAACAACAGCCGCTGAAAGGCATGACTACAACAAATTCAAAGTGAGAATTGCGCCGCAGTTGAATCTTCGATGGCAGATGGCAGCGGTTCGAGGTTCGAGCAATGCTCACCTGCACGGACAACGGTCGTTTCCTTCATGTAACGGGCAGAACGACCCGAATACGAGGTTCATTTGTTCAGCACGGTAGTCACTACTACAGCAGAGACGAGGCAGGGATTGCACCAGCAGCAGCAGTGTGGCGTGACAGTCTGTGGTCTGTGCGGCCGTTCGGGGGGCAACGCGACGTGGACAGGTTCGTTGGGGTACCCACGCTACTGCTCTCGCCGACCGCGGCTGGGCGGTGCAACCTTGGTTCCGCATCCATCATCATGTGCCTTGCACTTGCCTCTCCTTGACACTCTTTTGGTGTCTGGCAAGCTCCATCTGCAGCAGGATGACCCAAGAAGCTGCCGCAAACAGCGGCAGAAATGGTGGCGGCGCGAACGCCGCCAGCTGTCGCGTCGCCAACTTGGCCAAGGATCGCCCCAGCGCAAGCCGGAGCAAGAGCAGCAGCACCAACAGCAGCAGCAGCAGCAGCAGCAATGCCGCCGCCACCCTGCTCATCCTCCTCGTGCAATCGGTGTGGAGGTCACCTTCGCCAGTAACCGTCGACGCCTTCGTGGGTCCCGCAACGACGACGAGCTCCCATGCACGGCTCGTCGCATGCCGCCGTGCGCCGGGAGGTATCGGAGATAGTATTGCAGAACACCCGTTCACCTCGCGGCACCCCTCGCGCAGGATTGGCCGCCTCGCGCGAGTAGCGGCAAGCGCCGCTCGTGCCGCCAACGCCGACGCCGCTGTTCATGATGAGGTCTCAGCTGTAGCAGCAGCAGCAGCAGCAGCTCCCACGGAAGGGGAAGGAGCGTCGCCCAAGAAGAAGAAGAAAAAGAAGAAGGAGCGAATCCGGGTGACGACGGCTGACGAGATGAGGACGCTCCTCGCGGACGGTAAGAGTCTGTTCGACCTCGACGCAAGGGGAGACTCGCAGGCGATGCTCGAGGCGCGGGAGGACGAGCACCCGGTGGTCGAGGTGCTCAGGAAAAGGGTCAAGGCGGGAACGAAGCCTGGATCTCACGGGGACGGGCTAAAGGTAACGACTTCTCCCAGCAGCACGGCGCTGGTGTCTACTTGCCCCCCCCCCCCCCCGCAA